CACCATATAAAGATCGTATGCTCTCAATAATCACATATATCATTTTTAAAAGAAAGCAATTTGGGGAATGGATGCAAATGACATTGTAAATAGCATCCATGAATCATATTGGCCAAATATGTAACATAAAGTTCGGGATATTACACAATCGGTTGTCGGTTCACGCTACACTACGTTAACCGCCTACGAACTAGTTGTGTCTATCTCTCAAAGAAATCAGAAAAGGAACCGGAAAGAATAAGCTTGTTGTTAGAAGGAAGAAGCTTGTATCTTACTTGTGTTTTCAACCGAGGGAGATCCTCCATTTATACATAGAGGAAGAGCCAGTCATTAATACAATTGACATTGAAAACTGGCATAAATTCTGAAACTGAAGTGGAAGGAAGGGATGAAAACGTATGAACCTGATTCTTTTTTTTTTTTTTTTTTCAATTCAATATCCGAAACTGAAGAGGAATGGCTGAGATGAGACTGACTGTTTTTCATTCATTTTCCAACAGAATGTAGCATACCAGCTCGTGTGCAAGCAGGATTCCTTTGTAGCCGTAAAATAATGTTTTCCTCCATAGCTTAAGTTACCCAACAAAAGCTTGTCTCTGTTGATTGAAGATTTTATGAACTGTTTCCATATATCAATCACTCTTCAACTCTGCAAGATTGTTTAACTGCTTGCACATTTTCTTCTTCCATTAAGTAGCCAAGAGAACTTTGTTCCGCACAACATAAAGGCCGAATTATTCATTATAGAAATTGTAAAATTGTCAGAGTTGTGTGATTTTCTTCATAATTGAAAATCAGTAAATGGGACCATGTGAGATCATGTAAAATAGATGTCATGCAGTCTCTTGAATACATGAAATCAAACTTGAATGATATTAATTTTGCAGTGAGGCAGAGATATACTTATTTGGAGGTTGTATCACATCCTGGAAAGTGGCCAGCAGAGATCTTCTTTTTGTCCGGCCGGATGCTGTATTTAATGGAAAGAAACCAATCAGGTATTCCCTGCCGTTTCATACCCACTGAAAAAGTATTTTGCTCTATATCATAATTTTCTAAATCTAGAAATCACTTGAGCTTCCGCTTAATAGTTCTCATTATATGCATTAGCTTAGATTTGAGAAAATGAAATCACTATTTAAGACAATCATTTTTACCAACCGTGTTCCTTGTTATAGTGGAGGAGTACCTCATTGTTTTCCCCAGTTCGGACCAGGCGCGATTCAGCAGGTAATTATACTTTACTTTTTATTACTCCTTCAAGATTTCTGTTTCTTAAGAGAACAAAAAAATAATTCATTTGAAAGGACCCTTCCCAAATAGCTTTCATGGTCGATGCGCTTTTCACTTTCGGTGAAAATAAGATGCCTCAATATTAGTTATTCTTCCGTATTTCGTAAGAAGACAAGCTATATAAACTTTAAGGCTATGCTGCTGCCATAGAAAAATCTTGAATTAAATCTACAAATGCTGTTTAAAATCTGGTTTTCCTATGAACCAATAATTAGTGACAGGCAAAGTTTTTGTCGATCACTGTCCACCACCACGAATTTATAAACAATTTAAGGTGTCTTCAGCTTTTCATGGCAAACTCTTGCTTAAGAATGTTTACATGTTTCACAGCATGGATTTGCAAGGAACGTAAACTGGTCCCTTGTTAATTCTGAGAATGTAGAAGGAAATCCTGTTGTCACTCTTGAGCTGAAAGATAGTCCATACAGCCGTTCCATGTGGGATTACAGTTTTCTAGCTCTATACAAGGTTTGTAAGTTACTGATTCATACATTTTTGTAAGTCTCTAAGCTATGCTTAACGTACTGCCGTCATTTAGATATTTTTTGACAATTACGTGATAAGCTACTAATTCGTGTTTTTTCTACTATGTTTCAGGTTACTCTAGATAGAAATGCGCTCTCAACAGAATTAAGAATAACAAATACTGACGAAAAACCATTTTCATTTACCACTGCTCTGCATACATACTTACATGTAAGTATCGCTTTTTACATACTTGGGAGACATAAATTAAGAATTTGTGGTTTGTATATTCAATTTTCTATTTCGAAGCTCATTGTAGTTGTTTGTGTAATAATTGAGTTCAAGAATCCTAGATGAAGCAATTTACAGACAAGTACCATGTGGAATGAGGATGTGAGGTTACACTATTATACAAGAATTTAGAATCTAGAGTATTTATTTGCATATTTGGCATGGAATACTGGGTGGATAGGACAATGTAACGAAGAATATTTACTTTTTTTTTTCCCTTAATGTTGTTTTTTAGTGCTGTGCCATTGTCCCTACCAAACATGTCATATGTATAATCTATGTTTTACTTGGCTACAAGCTCGTAACAAATCTGGAAATTTCACATTATTTAGTTTCTCTCATGCAGGCTTCTGTATCACGGACATCTGTTACAGGCTTGAAAGGTTGTAAAACATTGAACAAAGATCCTGATCCTAAAAACCCAGTGGAGGGTAAGGAGGAAAGGTCAGCATGAATACCATACAACTCGAACACACAATAATAATAATAATAATAATAATAATAATAATAATAATAATAATATAATAATAATAAAATTAGTCTTTTTTGCTTGAAATTTGGAGTAATTACAATCGCTTATACATTGATGGCATGTTTTATAGAGAGAATTCAACATGACTTGACATACTAAAGAAAGAAAAAGAAGTTAAACATTGTATTGTCCAATCATTTCATGTAACATGCATTGAGTGGATAAATTATGCTACATGGTATGAGAAAATTAAACATCAGTGCATTATTTTTTTCATAAACTGAAACATTATCTAACTTTGATATTTACCAAGTTTGAATTAAATAACTTATCTACTGTTCTTATTCTTATTATAATTTCTTTGTCGTATTTAATCAACATGTAATAATAGTGAATATGACCCCCAATGCCAACACTTATGTTTACTGTTCTAAGATCTACGTGTCTACTTTCTACTTCTAACCTTTATTTTCATGAGGCAGGGATGTTGTCACATTTCCTGGATTTGTAGATTGCGTTTACCTTGATGCCCCTGAAGAATTACAACTCAATAATGGTTTGGGTGATAAAATTACCATCAAGAACACAAAGTAAATTGTACCTTGTTAATTTTTGTATGCTCATTTCTTTTTCCCTAGATTTATTCATTTCTTTCGCTTGGTTTTTCATCCTTCTAATGCAGTTGGTCTGATGCTGTTCTGTGGAATCCGCACCTGAGTATGGAAGCATGCTACAAAGATTTTGTATGCGTTGAAAATGCCAAGGTATGAGAGCCCTTATTTTTGTATTAACTGATTTCTCCATTGCTTACCTAATAATCTATCATCTCTTGTAATGCATAAACCTCTATCTGTATGCTGCATGTACCTTTTCAAGCTATGACATGAAAATTCATTTAGGCTATCTCACTATCTTGGAATAATCCAAAATTTTATTTGTTTGCTTTGCATTCTAGTTTCTTTATGATCCGGCAATTCAAATGCTATATTAATTTGATCTTGTACTTTAGGAGTACATGTCTAGTCCAGGACTATAAAATCCAAGTTACCAAATGAGTCATACTCGTGCTATCTTCTTACGAGTATATGTTTTTGTTTTTTTCCATGAACGCTTCAGATTGGACAAGTTCAGCTTGAACCTAATCAATCTTGGACTGCAACGCAACTGCTAATCCTGGCTTGAAGTGCAGTTGAGTTTGTGGTTGGGCCGAGCAGATATTTTTGTCATCTCTACTAAGTTTTTAGTTAAGAGTTGTTCATGCATACATGTTCAATTAGACATTTACAAAATGTTAAGAACTCTAAAATTTGAGGAGTTCGAATTGTCATTTAAATTAAATTCTTTGTAATTATTTTCAGAACTAAAAAACGAATAAAAATAAACAAAAATGAGTTTATGATAGAAAATGAATAAAAGGGGGAAAAAAAAAGCAATGGAAGTCCGTAACCACCAGCATTCTGTGCAAATGAGCAGCTCCACCTTTCACTTTTGTATCAGTCCGTTCGTTTGGGTCTCGCCTTCCGTATGTTCATAATGATTTGTGTGAAAAAGAAATAAAAAATATATAAAATAAAACAATTCATGAAAAAGAAAAGTAGCTTTACCTTCTCCCAAAGCCAACATAGTGATAGTTCATGTCTACGACTTCAAAAAAGAAAGCTGTCGAAGTCTATGAATTATAGTAAAATCTCGATAGATGAATATTCGATAAATTAATGAACTTGCTTAAATTCTTCGATCTCGACTTGGGTCGATGTACTATAATAGCTTCACTAAATACATGAAATAAATATTTTATTTAAATTCTTTAGGGCATAAATAAATTTATAAAATAATAACCATTTAAATATATAAAATTTCTCAACATGTTAGGAACCTTTTACTTACAACTTCTTTTCAATTTTAGATCATCCACAAAATATGCATCTAAGTTGTATTTTATTCAAAACAAACTCAACCCATCTCGAAACTTTTACAATGCTCATACCACATTTGGGATATTTTCTTCATTTTGTTAAAAAATAATTATTCAAGATTACGATTGCTTGAGAAGTCTCTTTTAAAAGGGAAAAAAAAAGTTAGTAAAATAAATGTCTAAAAAATCGGATCGAATCGATCGGTTTAACCGAGAACGGTGTTGAAAGCCGGTTCGATTAAAGCTTTAGTTAAAAACCCACTTAGAAACTCGTCGGACCGACCAATTTAGAAAGAACCCGTGACCCGCTCCTGATTTAGTCAGTTTAGATAATTGAAAAAAAAAAATCGAACCTGCTTTAGAAGTGAAGCTCAAACCTTTATAATCTGTTAATGGAAGAACGTGATCAAACTAAGAAATAGAAAATGGAATCAACAACAAAGTAAAGAAATTTGGAAGAAATCTTGTTGATGTATATGGCACATTGAAGAGAAGAAAAGAGATGAATCGGTTGAAATTAAAAATAAGGGTTCTAGATATTTCAATTATCTAAATCAAGAGCGGGTCACACGTTCTTTCTAAAGTGATTGGTCTGATAAGTTTTTAACTAAAGGTTTTATAAGCCAAATCGGACCAACTTTTGGCCCGATTCTGATTTTCCCAATTGAAATAATCGGTTCTGTCCGATTTTTAAAAGAGGAAATTACACCCACAAAGGTTTTTAAGTTACCATTTTCAAAAATACAGAATCAACTTTAATAATACATAAATCAGGTTTTAATTAATAATTTTTAAATTATTTTTTATTTAAATCAATCCTATACAAAATCAAACCCTAATTTTTTCATTTGCCCCCCTCCCCCTCCTTCTCTCTCTCTCTCTCCCTCTCCCTCTCCCTCTCGCCATTCCAACCAACCACCACCTGTCTTCTCCCTCAAACCGGCTGCACCCACCTCTCTCTCTCCCGCTCACTCCTCTCACCAGCCACTTCCAAGGCGACGTTCATAGAGCCGCCAAGCGCAGCAGCGATGATTGAAAAATTCGTCGTTGTGCGCCTGAACGAAAGCCCTAGACGGGGTCGCTGGGCAATGGCATAGATTAATCAATGGATAACGTTACTGGCTTGGTTGGTATGTCACGATCTAGTGCACAACGGCCATGGTTTCAGATCTGCTATTTATCCACCCGTCGTCGTTGCTCGTGTGGCTGTGGTCGCCGCCATGGCTGGGATCTGCAGCTCCACAATTTGATGTGGTTTTTGGGCCTGTTTTCAATTGGTGGTGGATGGGGGCTGTGGTGGTGGTGGTGGTGGTTGGATGGCGGGTATGGTGGATTTTTTAGAATTGATATCTGTGTTTGGGTTTGAATGTGGCGGATATGGTGGATTTGTGGTGGAGACGGTGGTGCTTATGTTGGTGGTAGTGGTGGTTTTGTGGTGTTTGTGGTGCTGCTGGGGGGTTTTATATTGTCTGGCTGCAGCGGCGATGGGTCTGGCTGCTATGGTGGTTTTTTGTTGTTATTGTGTCGACGGTTGTGGTGGTGTTGTGACGGGGGTGCAGTGGAGTGCAGTGACGATGGAGTGTGGGGTGCAGTTGCGATCTAGTCCAGTGGTTGGGTGAGTTTTGCTTTGGTGGTCACTTTGATCTAGTTGAGACTGTGGTGGCTGCTTCGATGCGAAGTGTGAACGGTGCCGTGGTGGGGTGTTGGATCGGGGTGTTGTGGTTCTGTAATTTCTGTTTTTTTGGGTTTTCTGTGGTCGTGTTGGCGGTGGTGGTCATGGCGAAGTGGTGGTCACAAATGATTCGGGGTGGTCACAAATGATTAGGTTGTTTGTGACCAAGAATTTGGTTAAGTTGTGACCAGTAAACAATATGTGACCAATGAAATAGATAAACGGTGACCAATAAATGCTTCGTGACCTAGAAATTATTAATTTGTGACTAATAATTTGATAAATTGTGACCTAAAATATAATATATGTTCAATTAATAGGATGTTTGTGACCGTAAATAAGTATTGTGACTTACAAATTTTGTGATTTGTGACCAATAAAAAAATTGTGACTTTTAAATTTTTAAGTTGTGACCGATGAACAAATTGTGACTTATGAAAATTTTGAATTGTGACCTAAAAAATTTTGAATTGTGACCAAATTGTATAGATCTGTGACCTTAACATATTCGCCGGAATCGGATCAGTCGCCGGAAAAGTCGCCGGAAAGGTCGCCGGAATATTTTCGGAGTTGTGGGGGTGGTGGAGGTGGGGGTGGATTAATTATTTTATAATAGAATTAAATATTAATAATAAATTAATTTAATAATTATTATTTCATAATTAAATTATAAATAAATTTTAATGAAAACCTGATTTTTGAAATTTAAAATTTCAAACCTTAATTTTGAAATGGTGATACTTAAATACCTTATTTATGTATTGTTCCCTTTTTAAAATAGTGATCTGGGTCATTATTATTATCGGTAAGGGTATTCAGTAGGCCTTGAATAATTTCTTCGCCAGTGGGTGATTCTAATTTCATCATGGTATCAATTAAATTCTAAGGGGACATCTATTGTATATATGATGTAGCTACTAACTTTTTTATGTACATTAATGTATTATTATTATTATTATTATTATTATTATTATTATTATTATTATTTGACGCAAGTTTATTTTGGTTAAAAAATACAAGTGAATAAAAATAAAACACACTTTCTAAATAAAATAAATATTTATTTACCAATAATTTAATTATATTCATTTATCGATAAATAAATAATTCCTTTAAAATAATATTTTTCTCGATCCCAAAAATATAAAAACTTTTATTGTAATTAATGATGAGGAAAATTACAATAGAGGTCAAGAGCTTATCATAATGTAGCGTTTCAATCTCAACCTTTATTTCTTAATGTTTGAATCTCCAACGTTTCGAACTCATAGAACTCGAGTCCGTCGTAAATAATTCCATCTATTTAACAGTTACAAGCAACGTAATGAATGCATAACATTGTATGAGGAATAAAATAAGCAAACACAAATAATTTCAATGAAAAAAAAAAAAAGAAAGAGGAAAAACGAAACAAGAAAATAGCAAGAGGGGGAGGATGCAGACGCAGGGTGAAAGATGAAAAGTTGCCATGTCTTTTTCCATTTTTTTCACTGCAATTATTAGTGTTTAGCTATTTTACCCCCCTAAAACAACATTTGACAATGAAATGATAGATACAAGGACGAAGTTCTGCAAATTGAAAAGATTGGGGCTTGGATGATTAGAAATCAAGGTTCAACAACCATTTCACCGATTTGAAAAGGGTGAAGACCAACGGAAGAGGTGAACAAGTAATGGAGTCCCCAAGACGGACGACATGAGAGCCCAAACCATAGCTGCTTTAGAGACTTCTCTCTCATCTTTAACGACGACGAAAACGTTCCCACCCCTCAGACTCTTTACGCAACACGACTGAACTCGTTGGTTCACGAAAAAGCTTCAGTCCACCTGTCGTGTATTCATAAGTTTTAACCTCTATTATAATTAGGAGTGTCCAAAAGTTCCGAACCGAACCGGACCGAACCGAACCCGAATCGAGCGGTTCTTCATAAATTAAATACCCGAACGGGTACCCGAATCGAGAACCGATGGGTTTGGGTCGGATCTCGGGTCTAGACCAAGAACCGAAGAATCGAATAAGAACCGAAACTAAATAATTTTTTTATTTTTTATATTGAATTAATTAAATTATTTTATTTTTTTCTAAACAAATTAGCAAATTAATTAAATAAATCAGATTATTTCATAATTTTAATTTTAAAGCCAAATCATTTTTAAAACCCATTAGCCCATTTTAATTTGAAGCAAATGAATATACTTTATATAGTGTTGTTGTAATATTAATATTTACTTTTTGGTATTTGTATGCATTGAATTAATCTTATTGGACGGCTAGTTATTTATATGTTTTTGAATAAGGCTACGTTAATTTGTAAAAGTTACTAATGAAATGTCATTAGTTGTATTTATCACTATGTTTGACACCCATTTTATGGGAATGAGAATTTTTGGAATAGTGATTGATGAGAGAATGTGTGGTGAAAAAGTAATGAAAAGTTTTAGATTTGTGTGTAATATTATTTTATTAGAAGAATGTGTGGTTGAAATGAAAAAAGAGAAAAAAATGAGAATGAGAATGAGAATAGAATGGGTGCCAAACAGGGGCAGTGTTGCTGTAAATATTAAAAAAATTAATTATGGTACGGAACCGAACGGAACCGAACCGACTCGAACCGAACGGAACCGAACCCGAACGGTTTCATAATTATATTTGGACCCGACGGGTCCATTTATTAAATACCCGAAAGTTTTGGGTCGGTTCCGGTTTTTTCAAAACCGAACCGAACCGAACCGACCCACGGACAGCCCTAATTATAATTCTTCCAAATGATTATCTAAAATGTATTTAATGGGTATTACATTCTTATACCATAGTAAACCATAAACTACTATAAAGCTTATCAGTGTATTTCTTTCTACAAAACTCAATGTAGCTGTGAGAAAACTACCAAGAATTCTGTTACAGCCAAAACCAAGAGAATCTACATTGTGGATATTTCTAAAATTATCTAACCACGAATAAACAGTCCTTCAAAAACTTGTGCAGCTGTGATGTATAAATGTTGGGGAAAGTCCGGTAATGGTCAACATGAGGAGACGAGCCGAAGTTAAAAGAGCTTACTGGTTTCCCAATCTTCCTTTGGACTTCTATAAATGATTCTACTGCTTGAAATGGAATGACTTTGTCTGCTGTACTATACAGATAAAGTTGAGGACAGGGAGGCTGATTCTTTGAAAGGGCAGAAACAATCTTCATCAACCTCCTGATGGATAGAAAACAGCAAAATACTTTTCAACTGTTTCTATCCAATATGTATGCATTTTTTACTTTTAAGTTAAAACAGTAACATGTCAAAATAATTAACTTAACCAATAAAAAAGTTATTTATGTATAAGTGAACTTATTAAGCTGAGCCAAACAAGCTTTTGTCTTCTAGAGAAAAAATAAAAATAAAAAAAAAGACACCATCAGTTACTATTTTCCACTGTTCCTTACATTTGGCATGTTCAGATAATAATCTTGAAAGCAACTAATATCAGGTCATTTAGGATTGAAACATGGAACATAAAAAGTTTCAATGAATACGTACTTGTTTACATCGGGCAAGTCAAGAAGGAACGAGAAAATCCTCTCAAATGCAGATAAAAGTAAGGTTTCAATCAACAAAGGTTCCTTTTGTAGTATCTTTGATCCGTTGATTCCACTTCCTAATTCAGTTCTCTCCTCTGTATCACCCGAAGGATATGTAGCGGAGCTGCTTTTCTTCAACAGGGCTGTAGTAAATCCAGCTGCCCATACCTAGCATGGTCAAATGGATTTCTAAGCAGGCATCCTTCTTTGCACAATCATACAAAAAAGTAGGCAAAAATAAACCTGATAAAGAAATGTGTTTTAACTTTTAAGTATACACTTCAAATTGGCAACTCCAGATTAATGTTGATGGGAGTCAAAAGGGATATTTTATTGGATCAGATATTTATGTGCGTGTTCAGAAACTAAAAAATCGTGCATATGACGAAAATGATCATTGATCCACCATTTCTACATGGCAACAAAAACCAGATGCAAAGCAGTAAAGCTTACAGATATGCAATCAAAAGAAAGTGAAGAAAACAAAAAAGATGCACAAAAGAAAGCATATAAATTGCCAGAATTATGTAACTGAATGGCAATACTTCTGTAGTTGGTCCAACTAAGCATCTATGTTCCCTACTATAACCATAATGACTGGCATATAGAACAAACTAAACTTTATTTCCAAAACCCTTTGAGTCGACTACATAAATCATTCTTCACCATTTTTGTTCATTTATTGCTACATCAAGTAGAATATGCTAAACAGCTGGATCTTTAGCAACCACAACCGACCATGTTAGTTTTGGTCTACCCTCCCTCTTCTAATATGTCTTACCGTGAGCACACCACTTTTATAAATTGGAGCTTCTTAGATCTATGCAAGACATGCCCTAACCAGTTAACTACCTGCAATTGTAACTCATTTCAGCTGTGTTTATCTTATGAAAATTTGGTTCTTCAACAACACATCACTCTGAACTGTCAAATATAGAAGTCTAATAACTCTTATGTAAAATCGACCTTTTAACCTATAGGCGTCTTCATATTGCACAGCATTCCCATAACAATTCTCTATTTCATCCAAGTGCCCCCAATCCTACGCAACTCATATTCAATCCACATTCCTTGTTAATATTCGAACCTAAATACTAGAAGAAATACTTTTTGAGACAACACACTCCTATATAGTGACTCCATTATTGTTGTTGTTCCGACTACGCTACAGTGATTATTTACATATACTTTGTCTTAGTTCTTAACCTGAAACCTTTCAAAAGTCCCTTCTAATCTCAGCAGCTAAAACTATTCCATTGACAAATAACATACTACCGAGAAACTTCATCTTGGATGTCTACAAAATTCATCCCCGTGACTAAAGTGGAAGGGACTTAAGGCAGAACCTTGATGCAAGCCTACAGTGATATGAAATTCTGTACTACTGCAGTCACTAAATCTCTTGCTCATGATTGCTCTATCATACAAAACCTTAATAATATGAATATAAAATAGAAATTATGTCTCTCTCTCTAACAGTCATCATAAGACTTCCACGGGGGTCATGTCATAGCTATTTCTATATCAATAAAAAACATATGTAGATATTGTTTCTAAACTTCATCACTCTTATTGAATTCCTCAGTCGATCTCCCTCTCTTAAAGTTAAACTAATATTCTGCGACTTTTGTCTTACACCTTAGTCTGTGCTCAATCACTCTCTCCTATAATTAATGGAGTGGCTTGTTTGCTTGCAATATATGAAAATTTTCAAGAGTCTAGTGTCTTTCTCAGTTCAAAGAAATGCCTGTACTTTTAAGGAAAAAAAAATAACAAAAAAGCATGCCTAAGGCATCACAAATAAAAAATATGTTGTAGCTTAAAAAGTTGTAACACACAAAGTTGTTCATTGACTTATCCACAAGTTACTTTTGAAAGACCCTCTAAACCATGTACCCCACACTATGTTTACACATTTTCTTTTGAGTCCACATGATAAGCAAATCTTACAGAAACAATACTCTCCCTTCAACTTATCTTATGTGTTACTCAGGCATGTCACCAGAGGTGATAATGTGTATCATTGTAGAGCTATAATACTTTCTTCAATGCAACCAACTCTTCTCCCATTTTCTTCTCTTATTGCAATAGACACACAGTCAGCTTTTTAACAGAATAAATGAAGTCACAAGCACAATTAAAAAGTTTCAAACTTTCATCCATGCCTAAGAGAGCAAAGCATCTGTGAATCGATGCACTGAAGCGAAAACCAGAGAAAGATAATTCAAATAAACAAGAAGAGGTTGATAGGGATAGATCAGTTTTGTGGCTTGAATTATCAGGAGAAACGTTAGCACCACAAATTAGCACAGATCATGTGTAGAAAGAATCTATACGACTATCTTTGCTCATCACAGAAGTGGTCTCACAGTTCTAATTCTTATGACCCTGCCATGCATTGTTGAAGTGAGAAAAGGGTGACAACAAAGCAGAAACTTTATTTATTTTTTACTTTTTTACCAAACTTCTCATGTGCCTAGGTGAGGGTATAGCATGAACCCTACCTGCCAATAGATTAAAATAAAAGAACAAAAGGGAGGGAGTTAAACAATAATTACGCACGGAGGAGAAAGGAAAATTGAGAACTAATTGTGGATGTACATGTACTAACTTTATGCAAAAACTCATTTTAAAACCTAACATGCGGCACTGGTAAATTATCCATCAAAATCCTTCATTAGCCAACCGCTCCGCCACAAAATTGCCTTCTCAAAAAATGAGTAATCCATAACTATGTTCCTCGGTCTCGAGTAAGGGTGATGGGTACAGCATATATTTAGGAGTCAGATTATTTTTCTTCCAAAACTTAGTATATGGGGATACATCTAAAAATTATTTGCAAACATAAATTTTTTTTTAGAATATCATACACTATTAATTTTTATATGTATATTTTAAGGTGTGTAGTGTTGAATGGGCTTGGTTTCTTGCCTTCAAAATCTTTATTTTATGCCTCAAAATCGATTTTATTGCTTTAAAAAGTGTGGGCCCACCCTTTTGCTTCCCTGCAACTTCTGCTTCCTTCTATGGAAATCTCCCTTCCATGTTTCTACCATGTGTACTTCTAAATTGAAGGATCCAACTCTGGATCTATACCCATACACATATTCATGTCATGTCGTGTCGTGTACGTCATCCAAACTGAAGAATCCAAGCATCATAGCCTATGAGGAGATTTATTGCAACAAACATTTAATTTTTTCAATGAGGCACTGCATACTTCATTGCACAATTGACTCCCTAGTTACAACCCGTACTACAACCAAATAGACCAGCTCCAACCATACATTTGTAAATCTCTATAGAAGCATTATTTAATACCATAGTGGTGCACAAAGTTAAACCTCTAAATCGGAGCACTGATCATAAGATTCAAAAAAAAAAAAAGGCGGAAACAAATCCACCTTCATTATTCATAATGCTCCACCATCAAGCCCACCAGGTTGCCCTTAATAAATTTAAGAAAGAGCCTAGTATCATCTATAGAACTAAAGATAGTATTACTAAAGCTGATTTCACATCACAGTGATTAGACACAAAAAGGGAGTTGAGGCCACCACTCTTACCAATCACAAATCAGCACGTGATATTGGTGATGGTGGGGAGAGATAGATCAGTGTCATAAAGCAGCAGATAGGAAGTTTGAGGCCGACATGGTCATTAAGAAATTGAGTTAGTTCCAGGATCCTCACTTCAAAATGGCACCATAAGAGTCATTACACCTTGTTTAATTACAAGGAATTGGAAAGTTGGAACTACAAGCTTTAAAAACATTGCAGTCCCTAAATTGTAGTTTCTACAAGGAATTGGAAAGTTGGAACTACAAGCTTTAAAAACATTGCAGTCCCTAAATTGTAGTTTTTACTACATTGCCACCCACCCCTTCTCCATTAAATAAACAAAAAGCACCGTTGCAAAATGGGGGATGTCAATGTGGGAAGATGTATACCAAAAAAAAAAGAAAAGAAAAGAAAAAAAGAAAGAGGGTATTCATTAACATGTAACAATTATTAACCTTTCTAACATATATTGAAAAAGGTTGAAAAGAGTCAAGATTATTATCCATGTTTCCATTTCTAGGTAGTCCAAAATACCAATCAAGCATTTTCTTATGAATATCAATTGATAAGTACAAAAAACCCTGATTTTCTTATGAATATCAATATCTTTTTCCCTTTCATCAATGATATTCTTTCACCCTTATTCTAGGGAAATAAAGAGAAGCCATAACTCCACATATTATCAACTGAATACCACTTCAAGTCCAACAATCTAATAGCATATCTAGCCGCCATCAGGATAGATCAAATAAACCACTTTCTGAAAAAATATAGAGCAAAGAATTCAATCATTAAAAGAAATCGAACACAGACCTTAGGATCTATATTCGGGTCTCCTCCAGAATCGACAATGCATCCTTTAATCTTCCCCAATAAATCTTGCCTATCTTTCAAATTATCAAGCACCGCACCAAACCTGCCCAAAATGACACAAACAGAACAACGAAAAAATAAAAATGATATTTCATAACCAAGATTCCCAAACAAAAGTTACGGTTTCCTCTCCGAACCAGGATACATAGCTTCACCAGTAAATGATAAACCAGCCTTCTAACTGACAATAATGCATGCCACACTTGGAAAATAATACTGTAATACAAGTTAATTTATTGCATCAATCAACCTACGCTAGCCAACCCGTATTGCTAAAGGTGTGGAAGATCAAGAACCGTTCCCGGCCATCATTTTCCGATTCAGACAACCAAGACGAAAGCTCATACGTCAGCCCTGCAATCCTCTCCTCTAATCTCCTCCCTAAATCAAACGACAGCACATCTGTCACCGAAGCCACAAATGTAACAGCATGAATCCCCATCTCATTGTACAACTCCACGTACCTCCTCAAGTGCTTGCGCTTTGCCCCGAGCCATCCCAATAACACAACCGTCACCTCCGGACCCTTATCTTCAACAATCTCAGTTTTGTCACCCTTAGTGCCTCGTTCTAAAGCGAAATTCCACTCAGATGATTTTCCATTCGTACCGGAAAAAATACTGGAAAAATGATCTTGGGAAATTGAGAGATGGGGTGTTTGGAATGTCGACAGAGAGCTGAAAAAAAGGCGATTTAGGAAATGGGTTTGTGATGTAGGGAATTTGAAGCCAGAGTGACAGTGTGAATGGAATTGAGTATGGCGAAAAGAAGAAACACATGGTAATGGTAATCGAGAACGAGGGTATTGAATAGTTTTAGTAAAAGGGAATTCTAGAGAAGGATTTTTAAGAAGGGAATGGGAAAGGTGGCGACTGGAAGAACGGAAAATACAGGCTGAAGCTTCCATCGATGATATCCTATATGGTTTGTGTATCAGGGTAATCGCTGGTTGTATTCGCTGCTGGCGGAGAGTCCGATATTCGAAAAATTTGGGGAAAAGGCTAAACAAAATAGTCTCCAAGTCCCTCTCAACTAATTAGAACTAAAATAAGCTAAGAGCCCGTTTGGTACACATTAAAATGAGAGAATGTATTTTTTTGAAGTGATGTGATGAAGAATATGTGGTTAAAAAAGAAGGAAAAGTTATTGATGTATTGGAAAATATTATTTTATTGAAAAATGTGTGATTGAAAATGAGTAGAAGAATGAGAATGAAAAAAATAATGTGGCCCAAACAGTGGCCAAAGTTAAAACAAATGCCACAATAATCACTATTTTAAAATTCTTTATTTTACATATTTATTTTTAATCATATATTCACGTGACAAAATATTTTACACTTAAATTCAATTTTTTCCTTATTTTTAATCATGAGGAAATTACACCCATTCATGTTTTAAGATCCAATTTCAAAAATCATATCCGAAATTTGTTTATTCAAAAATCATGTTATAATTAAAAAATTTAATTTAAATAATTATATTAGAAAATCAAATTAATATGCATATATTACCACCCGACCAAAACCATAATCATTTGCCTAATTCATTTTCTTTACTCTGTCTTTACCCTCACCTTATCGTCTCTCTCTCACTTCTTCTCTCTCTTCCACTCCGACGAGATGGCACTCCGATGTTGAGGCATGGCATCGGAGGTGCAGTCGCGCTTTCTCGCAGTAGCAACGAGGTACTTCTGCCCACGGATGGGGGTAGATCTGCGTAGCGTGCCGCTGCGTCATGACTAGATGACGCCTCATCGCTTCGATCTGGTGTGGGACAGTGGTGGTTATTTTTGTGCTATGGTCGGGATCGGCTGCGCATCATGGTCGGGATTTGCACCGCCACGATCTAGTGTGGGATTTTTTTATTGTGTTTTGAGTTGGTGTATGAGGGGCTGTGGTGGTGGTGGTGTTTGGATAGCGGCGATTATGTTGGATCTAGTGGTGGCTGTGGTTTTGTTGGTGGAGGCAACGGTGAATTTTCTTGTTGGCGGTTGTGGTTTTGAAGTTGAAAGTGGTAGTTTGTGGGAGTGGTGACAATGGTGCTAGAAGGTTGTGGTGTTGGTTTGTTTGAAATGGTGATGTTTCTATTTGGCGGCGACGGTGGTGGTGATGCTGCTAGAGGCAATGACGAGGTGATTGTCGTAAGCATCGATGGTGGTCACAGATTATTTGGTTGATTATGATAATTGTGATCATTAAATTGGTTAACTTATGACCAAATAAACAATATGTGACTAATAAAAAAGATAAATTGTGAGCAAAAAATAATATGTGACCTAAAAAAGTTAATTTGTGACCGTAATTTGATAATTTGTGACGGTATAATAAGTTGTGACTTATAATATTTGTGATTTGTGACCGATAAATAAATTGTGACTTTTAAATTTTCAGTTTGCGATCGAAAAATAATATGTGGCTAATTAAATGGTTAATTTGTAATCAAACTGTATAGATCTGTGACTTTAATATATTTAATTAATTAAATATATAATTAATTAATTAAATCATAAATAAATTTTAATAAAAACCTGATTTTCGAAATTTAAAACCTCTATTCTTTATTTTGAAACGAGTGATACTTAATTCCTTACTTATGAAATTTTCCCTTTAATCATACAATCTCCAAAAAATCATTATTCAAAACTTCTATTTTGTTAAATAATGGCTATAAAACATGGGCTACATATCCTTTCAATTTAAAAAGAAATATAGCTTCAAGTTGATTCAACTAAAATTTTGGATTGAAATTTAAGTTAACAATTAATATTAATAACACATTATATGATATCCACAAATTTTCAACAATACATTTAATTAAATTTTATTAAAATCGACTAAAATTCTAATTTTAATCTAAGCATATGTTCATCTCCATTTGAAACAAACTCTTTAATTTTTATACTCAATTTTCAATTATATATTCACGTAATAAAATATTTTACACGCAAAAAAAAAATCGTACTTTTTAACCACGTGTTCTCCAAAAAATTACTGTTTAAAACATCATTTTTATTTATTTATTATTATTATTTATTATTATTATTTTTTGAAATAATGACCACCAAAGAAGGGTTAAATCTAAAAGGGGCATTCTAAAGTAAACTCAATTCAAATTTCAAACAAACCTCTTTCTTTCATTTTCTCATTTTTATCTCCTTCAAAATACTAAATTCTCCCTGATTTCTTTTCTATTTGTTCATATTTGTACTCAAAACTCAATACAATGTTTTGTATTCATAACAGTTTCACTTTCATATGTTCCATTAGTTTGAGTTTCATTTACAGTTGTTAAATACCACATTGACTTATTTTAACGTATTTAGATAAATGGACATGAATTTTTTTTTTTTTTTTTATGGGTAAAAATTTCATCCATAAAGGCATAAAAGCCTTAAGAAAGGGTACAATAGTGCTTATCAATGAAAGCTACATTTTCAATGAAGGAAGGAACACTATTCCACCATAGAATCATGTCGCCAAGGGACCAAGCATGTCGTACCAGACAATGAGCTGCCTGATTACTAAGTCTACTGCAGTGATGGAGGCTACATCAAGGGAATCGTCGCATTAACTCCTTTATTTCTTCTTCCAGGGATCGGATTGATGCAGAAGTAAGAGCTAATTTATTTACCTCATTGACAAGGAATAAACAATCACTCTTCACCATCAAGTGAGATATGCCAAGGTTGAGGCATAGCTGAAAACCTCTCAGTAGTGCAGCAGCTTCTATATGTTCAGGTTCCAGAATTGAGGTTCTAGGACCACTTGCAGCCACTATTTTTCCATTGTGGTCGCGTAATGTAATTCCAAGTCCAGCCTTGTTTAAATCAAAGAATAGTGCACCATCAGTATTGAGTTTTAAAGTATTTTCAGGTGGTGCAGACCATCTGTGTTTTCGGGGAAGCACACCAAGAACCAATTGGAGCGAGGGACCTGCTTCAGTAACATGTTTCTTGGCTAGAGCAATAGCAATTACTTGTTGTACTGGGAAGTTAAGCTGTTCATGAACCATCTTATTTCGACGAAACCAAAAGGCCCAAGTAATAAGTAGAAATTCTGATAGAACATTCTCAGAGTCCTTTGTCAAAATGTCAATAGCAGCCTGCATGAAGCCCCCCTGATAATCCTTGTTCTGAAGCACTGGAAACCAACTGGTGAGGGCTTGGTGGATAGGGGACAATACATCAGAGCATGGCAAAGGTCTTCCACTTGGTTATCACAAAAACAACATTGGGAAGCAATAGGAATTCTTCTTCAAATCAGATTCTATTTTGAAGGCAGACCCTCTTGACAACCTCTCCAAGCAAAAAATTTTACTTTTTGGGGAATCTTTAGTCGCCACATAATATCCCAAAATTTCTTTTTCTCAGTAGCATTAGAAGAGCTTCCACGGTCAGGAGTTAGATAGGTTCTGAAGAACCTATAAGCACTGCTAACTGAATAAAGTCCAGTTTTTTCGTGTTCCCATAACCAGTAATCTTGTTCTCCTGAATGGCTTCGGTGCAGTTTCAAAATAGTCTCAATAATTTTTGGATTGAATGGAGTTTTAACCTTTGTCAAGTTCCACCACTGTGAGTCAGGATCAATCAATGAAGACACTGGGCCATCAAGCTGCTGTCGATGATGGTGTTGTAGATCAGTCCCCAACTCTTTGCACAGTTCTTTTACTTGAGGGTTCCATTTATCATCCGGAATGTGTATGGAGTTGCCATTTCCTACAACCCATCTTCCCCCTTGTAGTAATAGATTTTCACCTCCCATATTCCACGCCAAAGCATAAGAGGGGTTACCACCTATAGAAGCTTTTAAAAGATTGCCACCAGAAAAGTACCGGGCTGAGTAGATTTTATGAACCAAGCTGTCCTTGTTTTGCAGGAGCCTCCAAGCTTGTTTACCAAGCATGGCCATATTGAAAAACTCGAGCTCCTTAAAACCCATGCCCCCCATGGATTTTGAGGTACATATACTTTTCCAAGATTACCAATGAATCTTCCTCTCTTCCTTCTTTTGGCCCCACCAAAATCTAGCCATCACCTTTTCAATTTCAGAGCATAATGTAGGGGGGAGTTTAAAGCAACTCATAGCATATGAGGGAATCGCTAGAGCCACTGATTTGAGGAGAATTTCTCTACCTTCTTGGGAAAACATACCACTCTTCCATCCTTGCAATTTCTGCCAAACTTTGTGTTTAATTTTAGAGAAGGCTCGATTTTTTGATCTACCAATCATATGTGGTAATCCAAGATATTTTTCATATTGCTGCACTTGAGGAGCATCCCATAGATCCATGATTGCTTGCTGCTGTTCTTGCCTAATATTTTTACTGAATACCATTGAGGTTTTATCCCTGTTTAACTGTTGGCCTGAGGCATCTTCATAAATACTCAGGAGAGATTGTACCTGGGAAGTAGTTCCTTCAGTTGCTTCACAGAATATCAAGCTATCATCTACGAAGAGGAGATGATTCAAACGTGGAGCATTTCTACTCACCTGAATACCAGTCACACGTTTATTCCTTTCCGCTTCATTAAGTAGGTAGACCAATCCCTCAGTACATAACAGGAACAAATAGGTAGAGATAGGATCCCCTTGCCTCAAACCCCTTGAGGTGAGAATACGACGAGTGGGTGAACCATTGATGAGAATTGAAAATGAGGGAGTCGTGATACATTTCATCACTAGCTGAACAATCTTTTCATGGAAGCCCAATTTATGCATAATCGCTTCAAGGAACGACCACTCAACTCTATCGTATGCCTTGCTCATGTCAAGCTTGAGAGACATGAAACCTTTCTTGCCCTTCTTCTTCCTTCTCAAGAAATGGAGCACTTCATAGGCCACAAGCACATTGTCTGTGATGAGTCGCCCTTTAATAAATGCTGACTGTGTTTTTGTGATTATTACAT